GTAAAAAAAAAAGAAAAAAAAAAAAAAAAAAGAAGAAAAAAAAAAAAAAAAAAAAAAAAAAAAAAAAAAAAAAAAAAAAAAAAAAAAAAAAAAAAAAAAAAAAAAAAAAAAAAAAAAAAAAAAAAAAAAAAAAAAAAAAAAAAAAAAAAAAAAAAAAAAAAAAAAAAAAAAAAAAAAAACCTTGGAGAACCAGGGCAATCCAACCTCCCGTCCCAGAGCCAACAAACACCAATTCAAATTAATATATTTTTAATTTGAAAAGATAAACAGAAACCGTAATCTCAAAGGAAGTGTTAACAAACATATAGGGAACAAAGACTGCAGGGACCCGTTCTTCATAACTCGCTTAAATCTGAGATGGTTTGAAAGATGCCAGATCTTCTAATCGTTATAACTGATCTCTGGCTAATTTGGTTCTTCAAACGAATTTGCGTATTTGATTAAAATATCTGGAGTAAGTTGTCTAAGATTACTGCGTGTTCTCGTGTTCCCCGTAAAGGGCAGATGTATCGATACTCGAAACCACGATCAGCAATGCAGCGATTGGCTGGCGGCAAGACAGCAACGTAATGACGTCATATAATTAAATAAGACACCTGATGAAAAACTTGACAAATTTCTGGATCTTTATAAGGAAACAGCCAAGTGAACAAAACTACGTAAATTTTATAATAGATAAATGAAATGTACACTTTTTTTTTTTTTTTAAACATGATTCCCAATTATTTATATTCACAATTACTAGTATTTGTACAGGCTTTATATTTTTAGTTCAATGTTGTAGTTAGCAATTCATGTCATTTTATCTTTGAAGCAGATTTGTTATGTGACAGCATTAATGAAAGTTTCTTAAGGGTCAAGATCAAGTTATCTGCGTCTCCTGCGCTCCATCAAGCCACTCCCATAATATCTGTCAGCACGCAAATTAATGCACGACTCAGATTAACTGTATGTGTGTAAGACTCTAATACAGTTATAAAGTTATTATTTTATAACGAATAAATCTTTCAATGAGTAAAACTGTCTGTGTCTATAGTATTATAGTTTACCCAACATAATTTTTTCAAATTAATTTTTAAATAATTATTATTTTAAATTATTGTCCCCGGATTAGTAGGGTACTCTTGTAATAGAGTAGCAGTGGCTGGGATAGATTTTAAATATCAGTTCCACTTAAAGATGCAATCTAATCCTGTTTTCATGAAATAAGCGCGTAGTTACAATCCGTGCCGTTCAGCCTGAGCTCGGGCCAAACACACATTTGCTCATGTGACGAGGATGTTTATTAAGTGCATTAATTAAGCTTGGTTTACATAATAAATAATAGTTTAGCATTCAAATACATCGCAAATATGGACACATTTAATGGATTAATGCCGAATGAGAGGGGTAGGCTGCGCGAGAACGCCATTTGCTTTCAGTTTCGCATCGAATTAGCCTGATTCATTTTGGCTTGTTATGCAACTTATATTTTTCATTCTTGTTTTCTTCTGAAACCGTTCAAAATAGCCTATAGGCTAGATATTGTGTTTATTGTTTGTACATGATAATATTTCGCTTTATTTAGTTATTTATGAATGTAATAATGCAATTTTATATTATTTTTTTACCTAAACTACAACGTAACATTAATGTAGACCTACATACCGGTATCTAAATATGATTTCATATATTTTATGCTATATAGACCTACCACATTACCCTCCACTGGATGTAGAATGAGCAGCAATAAACTACATTTTGGCATTTTATAATACTTCTGTGGATATTTTGGTGAAAGTAACTCAAAAGTAGTGTAACGCATTACAATTCAGAGACAGTAATATTGTAATGTAACTAATTACTTTCGAAATATAGTAACTAGTAATATATAATGTATTACATTTTGGAAGTAACTTGACCAACACTGCTCCTTGGTGAGAAATTATGTTTATAGGCCAGAGTCCATGCCATAAGAGCTTGTTTATGAAATTTTGCAAGCTTAACCGGTATGTTTTCAACTGAATAACTGCACTTCAACAAAAATTCGAGGTCACCCAATTGCTTGAATAGATAGTTGTGAAATTAGTTCCAAATACTGTCTTTATTCTTTAAACAATGTAGTTAAAATAAATTGGCTTATTCAACATTTAGAGTATCATAACTCAACACCTCTAAACCACCATGATCTTTGGAAATGCATTAAAAAAAAAATCTCAGGTAATGTGGCTTGTTTCACCAGATAAAATCAATAAGCATTTTATCCAGTTGTTTGGTAACTTTAGGGGGAATATCCAATGATAATGATGCATAGACTGATCTAGAGATTCCTTCAGCTTTTGAAAGAAGTACCCGCCCCTGAATTGACAAATCTCTTTGTAACCACATGGTAAATCTCTTACTAGTTTTAGTAGTAATTGGATTGAAATTCAAATCATTGTGCAAATATAACATCTTTACATATGTCAGCAATCACACTAGGAAGCTGAGGTAAGTGATACGAATCAACCGGTTTACTGATATCGACAGATGTATACAGAGCAAGAGTCCAATGGTAAGTAAGATGGGTATGGAATGAGATCAAGGTTCTTATCTGTGCGGTGATACAGTCTCTGTATTGCAGGCAGTCCCAGGAGCGGTAGAGTAATGGAGCAGAAGGAACAGCGGGAATGGAGACGTTGGAGGATCGTCGAGGTAAGTATCCAGGTAGGGAGTCAGGTAAGCTTGACATAGCAAATGGTAGACCAGACAATAAGCTGAGGGATCTGTGCACTGATATAGGGAGCGTGATGAGCATGGACAGGTGTGTGCAATCCGTAGTCGGGTGAGTGTGATCTGGTGAGCGTTGGGGGCGGGGACTGTGATGGCTGAGGTGATTGTGGTGACTGATGTGACTGTGACTCCCTGACAGTACCCCCTCCTCCAGGGGCGGCTGAGCAAGGAAAGGATCTAGAATGTCGTCCCGGGCCACCCAGGATCTTTCCTCTGGACCGTACCCCTCCCAGTCCACGAGGTGCTCGAGCCGACCGTCCCGTCACTCAGCTTCTTGCAAGACAGGCGGAGACGTAGATCCCTCGTGGAGAGCCAGACTCTATCTCCTGGATGATAGACTGGTGCGTTGGAACGGCGAGAGTCTGCAAAGTCCTTGTGTCTCCTCACTGCCTGCTGGAGTTGGACGTGAGTTGCGTCCCAGACCCTCTCGCTCACCCGGAACCAGTGGTCCACAGCTGGAACTTCGGAGGGTTCCTCCATCCAGGGAAACAGGGGAGGCTGGTACTCGAGTATGCACTGGAACAGTGTGAATACTCTGGTGTTCTGCTTGAGGGAGTTCTGT